GAGTTGCTATTAAAATTTTGTACAATACTTTATGTGGATTATACGCAGTAATGAATGGTGAAATTGTTGATTGTTAACATTCTTTGGTGTATCAATGCGAATGAATGTTGTAATATCAAGCCTTTATAACACTATTTAAAGGTTTCACTCATAGCTCAAGTTTCGTGACGGTAGCTCTTTTTTAAAGAAGTACATTACATGACTCACGAACGCAGAAGCAGGCATACAACTTGATGTTTAGAAATTTCTGAGCTTGGGTTGTGGCGGTGTAATTAAGAGGCAGTTTAGCCTGTAAACCAAAGTGCTTGGCGGGTAGGTTGGACTGAATAGACTAGCCTGGCAGCATTGCTGTTAATAGACTGAACGGATTGAGGCCTCTGCATGTTTCTAAAAGGATGGCAAAACTATATGTTAACTCTCTGTTTCTTAAAAAAAAGATGTCACATTTCAACAGTAGTTGGGCCAAAAAGATTTCAATCGTTTTCATTTTATTCGGAGGCGCGTTTCAAGATGCAAGAACCAGCTGTGTAACAAGTGCTCACGAGTTCTGAAGTTGGCTGATCCATTTTAGGTACATTTCTTTTTTGTGCTTCATGTTGATTTCTGTAGTTTGGTGTGTCAAACGCCATGCCATTAGATGTTTCTCCTCACCTAGAAGTAATGTGGTTGGTCGCAGGTTAGGTGTATGTCAGTCAGTGGTGCTGCATAAGTCACAACAAAAAATTTCGTCGATTGTCTCATTTCATGATAGACTTTCTTAAGATAAAAATTTTTGTTTCCATTTATCGCATTGATAAAAATTATTATCTATTATGTTGTATCTAAAAAAATATTACCAGAAAATAAATTTCATATGACTTTACGATTATAATTCTACTTGTATACATAGAATTAATTGCAATTTAACTTTATAATTTTATGAGAAAGTTTCATTTACATCTCAAATTTTTACAAGGTAATTTGCGATAAAATACATTCTTTGTTTAATACATTCGGTGGTAAGTTACAAAATGGTTATACACAATTTTTATAATAATTCAGTTACTCAAAAATTGAATTCCAAACAATATACTCAATTTTCAACTTATTTTCTGATTAATTCTGAAAAAAAAATTTGTTTGGATCTTTACTTAATAATACGACGTACAACTGTACATAAGATAATAATAACTTTTCAAGGTACGATCCTAAGGATTCTAAATTTTGACTTTCAAATAGTCACAGAAGTAGCTAACATAAATAAAAATTGTTTTCTGAACCACGCAAAAAGAAGTAATGAAGAATTCGCAGTATTTACTATTATTAGCGTGGTACGTACTTTCTATGCATTTTCTCCAACGATTATTTTAGCTTCAGTATAACTAATAATTTTGGAACTTTTAATCTTATACCATTACAAAGTTTTGCTGATACATCTAAACTTTTTATTCATAAATTAATAGCATTTATATTCACGAATCTAAGTGGCGGAAGATCTCCTTGAATACTATTCAAATATTCTGTTGAAAAATTGATATAAATATTATTTTCTGTTTTATTTACTCCTTGGTGAGTTGCTTAATGAATGCTATAGTAAGTTACTGATTTTCCTACTATATTACTCGAATATTTTTTATTCTAAATATATGTGTATTTATTGTAAGAAGTAATTTAAATTATACTTATTAAAGAATTAACAATGTAATTAAAATTTTTAGAACAAACATGTATATATGGATCACTCTACAAAAAATTGGCAAATTTTGACGGCCAGAATGCACGAACACTTAAAATGGTTTGTACTTTGTTAAAATATTATTTTCACATTGTCCGTGATCGAAATAACTTGAAACTTTTTGGGGCCTGCTGGATTTGGACGAAAAAACTTTTAACAAAACATTTTTAATTCTATTTAAAAAAAAGGGAGCTTTATGGGCTTTTATGAAATATTATTATAATTAAGGTAAATACGTTGTCAATAATAATTTACATTCATGTCATGCATTTACTATTAATATTTGTAACAGCCAGTTTCTAAGTCCATAATCAAACATTACACGAACATACAATGGGTTTTGAATCGTTACGGGATATCTCTACAGGCTCTTGTGAACTCGTTGCAAAATCAAGATTGTGACGTACCAAATGAAAACTAAACTTCGTCCTAGTACTTATTTTATGTACAAAACAGCTATAATTTAACCTACTATCTCCCGAGTCAACAATCGAATGCTTCAAAAAGATACACGACATTCTTTAGTATTACGGGCTTTTGTCAAGGAGCGTTACAGGGTCTTACAAATCCGTCGAGAAATCGAGATTGTAACGCACCGAATAAACATTTAATTTTATCACTGCATTTATATCATATGCAAAACAAAACAGCTATGATTCAATTCGCCACCTTTTAAGACAATAATCGAACGCTTTAAAAAGATACATAACATTTCTTAGCATTACGGGCTCTTGGTTTTCATTCTAGGCAGATCTTGGGCTAATCGTAACAGAAAAATCGGAAAAAAACTCCTGCACTATCCTCAACTTCTGTAGAATAGAAAACATCCTAATTAAAACGCCAAAATTCAATTGCGTACATTCGTGAAAAAATTTTACGTTAAAATGTTAAATTTGTCAGATTTTGGTCCCCCAATTTTAACAGCATCCTAGTCTTAAGTACATTTTTTTTTAGTTCTCTAAAAAACGTTAAAATGTTGTTTGCGTTAGTAACTTCAAGATTCCATACCGCAGAATACTTGAAAAATCTGTATTTTAATTTCAGGCGTCGTAAAAACTATAAATTTTTAGTGAAACACGGGCTCGCGAAGCTAATTTCACCTATTTTTGGCATCTTAAACTAAAACAATGCTTTTTTATGATCTGAATTTTGTTGTTCCTTCAGCAGTTAACATGTTATAAATATTTTAAAAACTTTTTTAAATTAATATTTGCTTATACGACGTTGTAATCGAACCAGGCTTGAAATATACCGATCATGGTAAAATGACCCGATCACATATATACATATTTTATTCTATTTCCATGTGCAAGGAATTTTAAAAGCCATAATTTTACCTTCTATACCTAGCAACAATGGAGAAAGTTTTATACATATTAAACACATAATTTTTTTAAGAAAAAGTCTTCAAAAAACTATTGTTCCTTAAACAATATTAGTTTTGCTATTGTTTTACACAACTGGATGAATTTGACGAAAGTCTTCACTTAAAATGATCAGTAATTTTTCGGAAGATGTCTTACTATCAGACAAGCCTCTAGAAACTCTTAAAGATTTATCAAAAATTTCTACTGTTTTTTTTTGTATCATAAATGCTTTGTCATAAATAATTACTCTTTTTTTATCTAAATCAAACTGTAAGAAAACATTTTCTACAGTATTTTGAGTCTAATGAAACTCCGACAGTCCTGTGAGTGGTAATTCCTATCAGACGAAGAAAATAAGCAATATTTACCCAAGCTGAGTTGAGAATTTTTTTTTTTTCTTTTTAATCTATATTCAGTAGTAAATAAATGTTCTTTTCAAAAAAAAATTCTTCAGATCCACCAGTACCATGGGCAAAAAAGTTTTCGTTTTCGAATTTTATTATCTGTTAAATAATTAGATTTTGATCATAGATTAATCGTTAGAACATTTCGTTAAATTTATTTTTCTATTGTCTTTACCATCAAATTTCTTTTATCGATGCTGTTGGTTCTGGTAAACTAAAATATTTACAAGACATGTTCTGGGAACTGAAAATTTCGTGTGGATGTAAAACAGCTTTATTGACACTATTTTTACAATCTTTCATAAAAATATTTTGTATTTGTTCTAAATAACATGGCTCATGAAAATTTTTCAGACATAATAAACCATACACGAAAATTTCTTAAGTTAATAAGAAGGCATAAGCTTACGTACTTCTTTAAAAATAATATCAGTTTGAGAATTATGTTTTACAAATCCCATAGAAATTGCCGTTTCTTCATAAGCTTTGTAATTAATATTTATAACAGTTCTTAAATGTATAAGAGATATTTTTCCAGCTATTTCATTTAATACTAATTTTTAAAAATCTTTCGTGATATGCTGCAGACGATGTATAGACTCATGAAGGGATGAATGTATGTATACATCTGTCATTCTAGGTATTTACATTTTCATTCTTAGTATTTTCTAATTTAATTATTGCAAAACTTAAAGCTACCGAGGAACTGTAAATTCACTCACACATATCTAACTGTAGAGTCACATAACTACTTTATCGGGCTCAGGTGAAAGACAGCTCTAAAAATTAAGAATGAGTAACTTATCGAAACTTACGGTGCAAGTGAATGTACAGCTCCTCGGTAGCTCAAGTGGTAGAGCAACTGTCTAGTAAACAGGAGGTTGTGTGTTCGATCCGCACCCGGGGAGAATATTTTTCTCATTCTTATTTATTTCTTAAGAAAATTTTCTTGAAAAAGAAACTATGTGGTTTAGTATTATGAGTCTCAAGTATATTGGATATTGAAAAAAAAGGGCATGTATCGAGGATATAGAGTGCTTGTATTGAAAGTGCCGCCATCTACGCACATGCACCTCTTGATACAATGATTTAGATGTATCAGCATTCGCTTGTATACTATTGATCGTAAAAATTTCTAATTTACCGACAAGAATTAAAGTCTCAAAACTACTTTATCGAGCTTAGGTAAAAGACAGCTCTAAAAATTAAGAATGAAAAACTTATCTTAAATTACGGTGTAAGTAAATGTACAGCTCCTCGGTAGCTCAAGTGGTAGAGCAACTGTCTAGTTAACAGGAGGTTGTGTGTTCGATCCGCACCCGGGGAGAAAATTTTTCTCATTCTTATTTATTTCTTAGGAAAATTTTCTTGAAAAAGAAACTATGTGGTTTAGTATTATGAGTCTTAAGAATATTGGATATTGACAAAAAAAGGCATGTAGGGAGGATAAAGAATGCTTGTATTCAAAGGGCGGTTATCTATGCATATGCACCTCTTGATACAATGATTTAGATGTATGAACATTCGCTTGTATACTATTGGTCGTACGAATGTCTAATTTACTGACAAGCATTAGAGTAAGAAATTCTTTTGCTTAAGGAATACCTTAACTTCTGTTATTATAAGTTTCTACTAATTAGTTTTAATCATTGAGGTGAATTCTTATAAATAATATAAATTATTACTTATTGGCACACTAAAATAAAAAAGGTAAGAAATACGCCCTATAGCTAAAGCTATAAGACCCATAAATTACATTTTGTGATTACGTAAGCACTTAAAACAGCACTTACAATAAACCTGAGACTAATAGTGAAAGCAGGTCTTACTACTAAAAGTCTGTTTTAGTTAAAGCTCTACTAGTTAATAAGAGTTACACAAAAAAATTCTCATCTAGTAGTAAACATGCAACTTTGTTTGTTTGAAAAACAGTAGAACAGATTTTTTTATAATCCATTAATTAGCTACTCACGTGGTATGTACAATAACATTACTGCAATAAGAAAATAATAATAGCTGAAAGTAAAGTTCCACATATTTGGTAGTACATAACTCCATACTTCATAGCTTTTTCTAGCGAACTCTGTAGCAGCATAAAGACACAACAGCTCTCCCGTGATGCCAATCGGATATAAAATAATGAATGTTGAGTACCTAAAAATACACACACTTTAATTTGAAATAGTTAACTTTCTAAATTTTCTAGATGATTAATATTTTATTTTTCATTCAACTTCTTTATTTCATGTTAAATGGTATTAATAAACTTAAGTGCAAATCCAGCAATACTACTGGTAACTGCAACTTCTGTTTTGTATAAAACTATTTATCAAAATATGCTGTACATAAAAAAATTTAACTCCCAAGAAATTTAGTTTCTGAGATAAGTGCTTCCACAGGCACAATGACAGACTCTGCAAAAAGTATCTTGGTTTTTAAAGGAGAAATGCCTAAAAAATATGTGTTTAAGTTTTAAAAAAAATTGTAAAAAAAGTCATTTAGTTAAAAACTTTTTTTTTAGTCACATTGACTCAAATCGTCGTTTTTCACGTTCTATTCATTTTTTCATGGTCCTATTATTATAATGTATTAAAAAAGTTTCATAAGCAAACTTAAAAAGGTAACCTTTCAGAAAAATTATTTGATGTCAGTTTAAAGTAAACTTAACATAAAAATTTTTTTTTCAATTTTCAAACTGCCAATTTAGCTATTTTCTTTAAGAGGTTTGTATAATTATATTACTGCATCTTATAAAATGTATGAAACCCCAACCTCAACGTATTTTTTGGTGCAACATAACAAAAAAATCGTAAATCCGTTATTTTAAATGTTTCTCGTTAATTTTTGCATGTGATCAGAAAGATAATAACAATACTTAATTTATTGTAGAAATAAACGTTAAAATGGTGTATTCGACTTGGTGTTACGTTGGCGTGATAAATTAAATGAGTTTAAGCTTGCGCTTAATAACTCAAGACTTACACTTAGCGCGTAGGTGAGACGAACGGCTAAGGAATAATTGGGATTACGCGGTAGTATACACGAGAAGGGGTAGGAATGCTAGTGACCGAACGGAATCAACTTTTAACGGCTTGGGGCGACTGTTGTGCTGTATCGCGATGCACTTACTCGCAATGTGCTTACTTGGACCAGTGCACTGTAGGTGTCACGTTTCACGATCTAAGAGCTACCGATACCGTCAGGTGTAAAGGTAGCTGTTTAAGAGGTAACGTAATGTGAAGTTATAGGTTTCATCCACGAACGGTCTAAGAACCACCAATACCATCACGAGAAGAGGTGATTGCTCTAGATTTTATGTATGAACCAATCGGTTATTTAACTCCGTGATCTAGAGAGTACCAATACCGTCACAAGTAATGGTGTGCATTCTAGATGCCATGCGCACGCCAGAAGAAATAAAGATAGTAAGGTTGGAAGCACTTAATAACTTTTGATCACTTACTTTCATTTTATTTTTGAAAAGAGGATTTTTATACTCGGTAAACAAGCGTGAGGTGTCCGATGTAAAGATTAAACCACACTCGTGGAAGTCCGTATGATAGCAGAAGTAGACTTTAACTACCCAGTCGACCGTTCGAGGGGTGACTCTTATATATCTGTTTTCGAGCCTTCAGGCCCTTTAATTGGAGTAGCTGACTTCAGTCACGCACCAGCTCATAACTGATACAGGAAAGCTTGCTGGGGGAATATCATGGAAAAATAATTGCCAAAAATATAATTGGCAAGAGCTGTTCTACTTCAGCCACTCAGAAATTGGTCTTTTCCCACATCCAGCTTGTTTTCCTCCATGCGTCAAAAGAAGGGGAGGTGATTCACTTACTCCTACCCTTCCTTTCTTTTTCACATCAAAATTTAACAGAATTTCAGTGTAACTTAATAGTAACATTAAGATGTTATACAATGTATATTTACTAATACTAAACACTCTTAGTTTATTTAGTTAAACTTGTTGCAAAAAGAGCGGTGAAAATCACCCCATTTTGATTGAATGCTTGGATAAATAAATTATTGGTGTGTTACAGTGTATCAATTATCATTAATACTTGAACAGTAGTAACGATGGCTATTGCTACAATAACTTATAATTATATTTATAATAATAATGCTAAAAAAANATAATAATAATATTAATAATTTCAATAATAGTTGTAGTAATAAAGACAATGATTATAATAATAGTACTGCACCTGTCACGAGTTAACGTAATTAGGTTTACGGAAAGTTTTGACTGATTATAATCTGCAAACATAATTCAGAATTTTTTGTAGAATTTCAGTCAACTTGCTTTCCACTCCTAGTCGTTGGAGAAAAAAATAAGCACGCGTGTTTTGGGGAATAATAAATTCCATTACTCGCGTTAGAGGCCAGATTACAGATTTTCTCTAGACACATCTGAGTCAAGAACAGGGGAAAGGGTTATGACTGTCCTTTTTTCCTTTGCATTTGAAAAAGTAAAAAATTTCAACCAGTTTGCAAATTAAACTATTGCAATGTATGTATAACGACGAAAAATATAACTTTTTCAAATTTTTATTATTTGTGCATCATAACCCAAAATTTGAAAAATCGCTATCATGGGAATGAGTTTCAAAATTTATATATAGGTAAATGTAACTACAACTACTATTTAAACCTTCCGATTTTTTTTTTTTTTTAAGAAATGTCAACCTAACAACCTACAACACTATGTACGCCTTGTTAATCTTTCTGAATAATCTCAAATTATTTATGATTTTCTTACATTAAAAAATGTTTACAATAAACATACAGGTAAGATTAGTGTTATTTCCATAATCCATCCATGTTATATTAATCTTCGTTACTATCTTTAGCAATCACACAAAAAACATGATAAATATTAAAAAGATTTTTTTTAACTTTAGCTGGTTGTTTGACTTTGTTAAAATTTGTTAACTGTATCTAAATAAAAATAGTAACTAGTTTTAATGCGTTTGCAACCATATTTATGTAGTGACCCTGCGCTAATATAATTGTATTTTATGCCAAATTTTGAATGAAAAATTGAATTTTAATTTTTTAATTATTAGTAGAATGCCAAGTAAAAAAGTTACAAGTGAATGCCTGAATAAATATTAATGTAAAAAAATGATTTAAAAACAAACTATGTAACATCAACATCAAATTCTGTAATAATTTAAACTACAGAAATCTGGATATTTTCAAGTTTTTTAATTTTATTTGTGATAGTCCTTGGATTAAAAAAGGAAAATTACTATCTTTCACTACCTATAAGAATGGTGGTATTAGTGTTTCCTCTGTTTCTGATTCGGTGCCTGAAGTTTCACGAACTAACCTGATTACATAAGGGAGAGACTAGAAAAAAATGAAAATTTTTAAACTTACATTAATGATAACTGAAGAAAGAATTTAAAAAAAGGAAAAACAAGAAGAGAAAATTTTAATACATGCATAAGAGAATATTGATTTAAGTCAGAGTTACGTAGGAAATCTGTGACATTGATTTTTTATTTATTTTTATTTATTGATAACCATAGTATACAAAGCATGCAGGGCAATGGAAACATGTAAATTCCCTTGCAATCCCGCAAAGGTAATATGCAAATACCTGCTCGCAGGCTGGTTTACCTCAAGGAGGTACAGGAGTATCATTCAGAGAGGCGTGAAACGGGGAGTCCTCCCTGCCCACGAATCTGTGCCCCCTTTACCGCGCACCTCCTCTTGCACTCTACAAACTTGAAACTGTACGACTGTAACTGCTTATATTTTTGAAAAATTCCTGGTAAGGCTTGATTTTTTTTGTCGAGCATCTTCCTTCTATACCAAGTTATCTATGAAAACGCTTTTTTTTTTATTTCAACACATTGAGAATATCCCTTAATTTCAATTAAAAAGCAAACCTAACCTTGCTCTCTCATAAGAGACTGTGTTAAACTGTCAATATTTCATAATTTTTTTGTTGAAAATTTCCACTGGTGAAAAATCTGAAAAAATGTATGTGCACTCCTAACATGTTCAAATATAACATACATTTTTCTGCGCGTTTCTTCATTTTTAACTTCTCTCCCAAATCCTCTTAACTTTAATTACAATCTGTAAAAAAAAAAATAATAAAAATCTTATAACCTAATTACTCTAAACGAAATTCCCAGGTTAGCTGATATCTAAACAGCAAAATAATATACTGCTCTTTGAAGAAGTACGCAAAAAATTTGATGTGTTATTAGTGATAACATTTCTGTCTAAGATAAAATGAAGATATTAATAAAAGCTTATTAGTGCATATGTACTTTTCTGTCAAGATATTGTTTGTTTAAAATTTAATTAGATCTTATAGTTTAAGATTATTTATTAACTCTTTAAATAATTTTATAGCTTATTTGTAACTGTTCTTATAACTCAAAATTGTTGTTATTTTTGGTAATTGTGTTAGTTTATTTCTAGTTTTACCATTCGAAGACTTATACTGTTTTTGTGATTCACTATAATGGAATCCAAAACATTTAAATTCAAAGAGTTGTTTTACAGATAAGGTTTTGTCTGTTAAATGTATATTTTATTAACAATTTTTACAAGTTTGTTTTTTATTTTCTGTAGAACATTAATATGGGTAATATATGCACCACCTCAAGCACTTATACCATAGCTTATTATGCTGTGAAAGAAGGCATAATATATTATTGAGAGAGTATGGCAATTCACTCATTTAGAGATTTTGTGTGATACAAATACTAAATACTTAGTTTTTTTATGATGTTTTCAATGTATTTGTTCAATTTCAAATTAAAATCAAAGATCAACCCCAAATACTCAATATACTTAAAAATTTGAGCTTTTCATCCTTTATTGTAATAATAAATTCCCGTGGTACGCTATCACAAAAGTTTCCAAATGTCATAAATACTGTTTTTTATATATTATGTGAAAGTTCATTTGGAGCCAGCCATCCGGCTGTCTGTGCCAAATGTTTGTTCATATTACTTTTGTCTTTACTTCAAGAGTATCCAACAGAAATAATTGCAATATCGTTAGCATAAGACGTAATACAATTATTAAGCATAGCTATTGAAAGATCATTAACAAATATTATACACAATAAAGGACATAATATCGTCTTTTATGGTGCACCAATATTAATTTTTTTTATATCACTT